GCTCTAAGCTGCGAGCCGAGCCAGAATGGAGGGAAGCTCATTGCCAGGGCTCGTGCCTCAGCTGAGGGTTAAAATACTGGTCTGACTGCTTGGGGTCCTCGGCTGTGGCCAGGTTACGCAGCACCTCCTGCCCTTCTTTGCTCAGGATTCTGCTCGTCTGCTGAAGAGGCTCCACAGACCAGCTCCTGGACTTACCATCCCGTGCAGATCCCTCTCCTGCTGCAGAGTGATCAGTCCCAAATAAAAAGAAATACAGGCCATAGTGTACACCGTAAAAAAACACATAAAATCTTTATTTAAAATTCTACTACTCACATAAAACCATAAATGTCCAACTGCAGCACAGAAAACTGTTGTGATATGGGATGGGAAGGAACACCAACAGATAAGCTGAACCAGCTCCAATCTTTCCTCGGCTGCTCCACCCACCTCTCTGCATCACAAGATCTGCCCCACACATGTTACGTCCAGATTGACTTCATAAGGGGCACAGAGCTTGGGACATACATCCTATTGGACCACATGTTGCATATTAACCCTTACTACTCCTGAGCCCCAGATTGCATAACAAATACATGAATGTACATAAAAAGACAATCCAATAATAAATATGCCTATAATGATTGCTAAACATAGTTGTTAACTTCTTGCCGTTGAGCAGCGCCCAGCGGGGAGGAAAGAAAGCAGGAATGCGCTGATGTATTGGCAGGAAAATTGCAGTTTCGGCATTTAGCCAAAAGTGCCATTTTCGGCCGATATGTTTCGGCGGTTCAGTTCGGGTGTGCGGATGACAGCATACAGCTGCGTCCTCCCACAGGGAAGAACAGGTTGCTTCGCGCAATCAAATGCAGTACCTGTCCCTCCTGGGATCGACCTATTGCAGAGGTGCACGCCGCACGTGTTAGCCCCGTGTGAATGAGGCCCTAGAAGTGACCTGCTGCTGTACAGATGCATATGGGGTCTGGATCTTGTCTCTATTGGCCAGATCCAGCCACCCTATGAAGAAAGAAAACTTGTAAAAGATGAAAAAAAAGTGTAAAAAGATTAAAACAAAAAATTACGCAAAACATTTTTTCCCCTGCATGCTTCACATTGCACATAACGTTAAAATGGGTGTAAAGCTCTTCTAAGTAAAACACACATGTTCACTTTATCACTCAATACTTTGTTCACTTTATCACTCGATGTAGCTACACTACATAAAAGTTGCACTAATGTGATATAATTTCAGTCAGCACACTTTGTTGATTATATCTGCCATAACTATATGGGGTTGCAAAAATTACGTAAATGTTGCCTTGGAAAAATTACAGGAAAATCATTTTTTTCTAATTCTTTTTTAAAAAAAATTTCCTAATAAAAACCAAGGAAATAAAAATGCTACCATTAAAGTCCTATGTAGGAAAAAAAAAAGAAAAGATGTATAATATGTTAGGGTAGACTACAAAACCTAAAATATATAACGTGCAGAACTGCATAAATAAAAAACATAACACTTAAGAAAGAAATACAAAAATACATTACTGATATACAAATTGTTGGGTGTTGCTACTGGATGTTGTAACGGTCACCTTTCTTACAAAATCTTACAGTGTGTAAATACAAGGCAACACTTTAGGACCTCATTTCCAACAGAAAACTTTCCCCAGTTACTGCTAATGCCATGCAACAGGAAAAGCCTGTAAGAGTATAAATAATATCTTTCAGCTAAAAATTGGCTGAGGCTGGTACAAGCCAGTTTGAGCTAGGCTTCACCGGTAACGCCTAGGTATAATGTGTACATTAATGTGGTTTTACTGAGGAAAGTTCATGCAAAGTTTTGGACCATGCAGTTATTAGGATCTATCTATTTAAAGGATTGAAAATAACTGGTATTTTATAATAACCCCTATGACACTTTGGAAATAAGACAGCCCTGGGAAAAAAAGGTCCTACAGGATATACCCCAAAAGCACACATTGTGTAGATATTAATTTAACATTTGAAATCCTCAAAAGGCGTATTCATTCTGCTTTTACTCTGCCTCTGCCCATATTCTGAATCTCCAGCTATAAATATTTTATTCACCCTCCTCCTGCTAAGCTTGCCCCCACCTGGCTGCTCTAACATTTTTAAAGACTCTATTCACCCTCCTCTTAGGTTTATTCCTACTCATGAAGAACCTTTTATTCTACAACAAAAAAAATGGGCTCCAGGGATAACCGTAAATATCCAATGAGAGTGGTTTAAATCAGAGACAATTGACCTTGATATCTTATTAAAAGCAGTGCCCAATAAGCCATTCCACCTTTGGTTGCAAGTCCTCCAAGAGGAAGAACATTGGAGGGAAAAGGTAGGTATCTATAATGTCTTTCTTTTTCTCACTAAAAAAAGATAGCTATCAGAGAAGACAGGAGAATGTACACATTTTTTAACTCTGGAAAAACATCTATTAGAGAGAGAAAAGATAAAACATAGATTTCATAAAGCCAAGGTTTCTTAGTTTTCAAACTTTTCCATTTCATGGAAACTATGAACTTTTCTTTTTTTCCATCAACAAGTTTTTTTTACATGTTATATCATAGGTTGTGCATCTAAAGAATAATGTTTGAGAAAAGATTTCACAGTCAACAGAGTTATGCATTAAACAGTTCTAAACAGGGGGAACCAAGAACATAGGAGTCAATGATTGCACCATAAAAATGGTGAAAGACTGCTATGTCATCGAGATACTCTCTGTGTCATATGTAGAGAGAGCTGTAGCAGAGTCAGGAGAAGGTTTTGGTGAAATATGAGTAGAGCATTCCTAGGTCTGTTTGGGGCACAATAGATGTGCACAATAAATATACAGGGGAAAGTCGCCTCTTTGCCTACTGCATCTTCTGTGCCTAATGGTACACCTGAACCTGGTCATATTGTTCAACTTATTTATTAATGACATCGGGGAGGGTGTTAACAGCGATTATATATATATAAATATACACAGTACTGTGCAAAAGTTTTAGGCAGGTGTGAAAAAAAAAATCAGAAATAACAGTGTTAATAGTTTATTTTGATAATTTAACAAAATGAAAAATAAATGAACAGAAGAGAAATCTAAATCAAATCAATATTTGGCGTGACCACACTTTGTCTTCAAAACAGCATCAATACTTCTAGATACACTTGCACACAGTTTTTGAAGGAACTCGGCAGGTAGGTTGTTCCAAACATCTTGGAACATAAATTCAAAATCATTTTAATTTATGAACTAAGGATATCACAACTAGGCGATCATGTTAAGAATTGAGTATTCATCCACATTAACGTGATACACTATGGGGTCTATTCACGAAGCAGCCGAAGGATCTAGCCGTAGCTTCGGCCGATCCTTCGGCTAGCTTCGGCCCCAAGACCGAGCCCGTACAGCTCCCGAAGTCGGCCGGGTGGCTCAGTCGATGTCTCCCGCTCCCGGCCGCCCAGGAGAGAAACACTGCTTTTTTTTTTTTTTTTTATTCTGACACAGAGCCGTGTCAGAATAAAAATTTTTTTCACCATAGTAATGCATTGCTAGATTTCTGTTGGCTATTTCAATTTGCAATAGCCAATAGCAAACTAGTTGCTCCGCAGAATCGTTTTCTATTTTTATTTTTCTACTTTTTAAACTACTTTTCTGTTCTGCTCGGTCCCACAGAGGGACCGAGCAGAACAGCCGAGACGAATGCCGCTCAAGAATAGACCGAATAGCAGCGAGTAGCCTGGATCGGCTAAGTCGAACTCCTTCTGCACTTCGGGCTGTTTTGCTCAATGCAATCAAACCATTGTTTCCGATCGTCCCAGTTCGCAACAAAGCACGTTTGTGTGTGCTGAAAAAAAACATGTTGCATTATATCGCAGGGTGTTGCAGTGTACTGCAATATGGAAAAACAGTAAAAAAATGAAAAGATGCATTTCATCATGCTGTAATATTGCGTGCCTAGCATATGATGTCAATAATTCCTAAACCATCCCTACTTTTCCCCACGTTCTCCATGTTACCATATGCAGCTTCAATATCACATGGAGTATCCCCCAATTAAAACCATCAGCAGATTTTGGTTTTCATAAATCCTCTATGTTAAAATATATTTTTTTTTTCAAACATAAAGTTTTTATTGAGATTTTAAGGATTAACAAACCAGTGAAGCACAATACAACAAACACAGCTTGATTATACGAACACAAGAAGATCAATGTGCAGATCAGTGGGAGCACATAGTGAGACATATTAAAGATCGTATGTGAAATAAACCAAGTTCCACCTCTTCTGGTATAAAAGGACAACTAATAAAGAAAAAAGTGTAGATGGGTGAACAAGAGGATTAAAGGGCAGAAAGGAAGAGAAAAAGAAAAGAAACACAGGCAAAGTAGGGATCCGAATCTACCGGAGGGAGAAAAGCCTGTGTTGAAATAATTGTTATTGATTACACAGTACAGAACAGGGGCAGATTGAAAGACGAATGGGTAATATGGTGGTATCATCAGGTGATTGGCCACTGACCAGAGCTGTAGGACCCTTTATAACCCCTCCCACAACAGGAGCTTTCCAGTTTTTTGCTAGTGTCCTTAGGTGATGGATATCTCCTATCTTTGGAGAGATTTTATATAGTTCTTCCTTTTGCCTGGACCCAAAACAGCCTAAGTGGTATTACTCCAGTGTTTGGATCTTGTTCGGATGATCTTGAAGGATAGTACAGGACATGGGACCCTCCCCTCTATGTCCGTTATGGCTTGCAAAAGAACTAAGGAGCTCAAGTTGTGGGAGGGGGCACAGCTCTGGCCAGTGTCCAATCACCTGATGATACCAGCACATTGCCCAGATGTCTTTGAATCTGCCTGCGTCCTGAACTGTACTCCAAGAAAAGGATTTTACAGGTAAGTCAAAATGCTATGTTTTTCTTCATTTCCTATGGCTAAACAGTAATCTTGTATTTTAGGAACGAACCTTCTTTTAAAAGAATCCAAGAATATCCTTGAACCAGCTGCCCAGTAAACATCCAAACATGGGTCATCTGCTGGTAGCCATCTTGTTCTTCTATGTTCTATCCCCGATAAAAGGTGACTTCCTGATTGAAGGACTGCGGAACATTCAGGTCAGTTCTCACCCTTCCTTTTTGGCTGCTTAAAGTGACACTCAGGCGTTAAATCCTAAAAATACATTTAATTACCTTAACTATTAATAATAATGGACCTTATCTGTGCATCACTCAGCTGTAGATCCTCAAATTATCTCTGAATTCATGCTGACACTGTCCTTCCTTCTGGAGAGTGGCTACTTTTGTTCCCCATGGTCCCTGTGTGTGTTGTAAAGTTGCCACCACTCCAAGCTCAATCCTGTGATGGACTACAATCTCACGTTTAGTTTATTAATTTGTATTGAGATTGTAGTCTACCATGGGAGTGAGCTTGGAGCGGTGGCTACTTTTCAACAGACACAGGGACCATGTGGAACAAAAGTAGCCACCCCCTAGAAGGAAGGACAGTGTCAGCATGAATTCATAGATGATTGGGTAACACAGTGGTGTAGTGGTTAGTGCTTCTGCCTTGTATGAGTGGGGGTGCCTGGTTTGAATCCTGGCCAGGTCACTATCTGCAAGGAGTGTGTATGTTCTCCCTGTGCTTGTGTGGATTTCCTCTGGGTACTCTGGTTTCCTCCCACAGACATGCCGGTAGGTTAATTGGCTCCTGTCTAAATTGTCCCTCGTATGTATGCGTGTGAGATAGGGACCATAGATTGTAAGCTCCTTGAGGGCAGGGACTAAAGTGAATGTGCAACTTTGTAAAGCACTGTGTAAATTGTTGGTGCTATATAAGTACCTGTAATAAATACATAATTAGACGATCTATAGCTGAGTGATGTACAAATAAGGTACAGTATTGTTAATAGGTAATTGAATGCATTTTTAAAATGTAATTCCTGAGTTTAGTCTCATTTTAATAATGTCATTAAAGTGTATCTGTAGCCAGAACGTTTTTATTTCGTTTTGGATAGAGTGGAACCCCTGTCAAGTTTTTATTACTGCCTGTGTCTCTGGGGAGATTGACCATCTCGAATTATTCTGGTGACCATCGTCATCGAGTAAAAAATGATAAGATACCCGAAATGTTGCAGTTACTAAAGCGGGATTAGAGGGAAAATCTTCCAGTGGAGACCCCCCTCCTTTCCAGTGACAACTGTCTAAGTGGGGATTTCTCCTCACTTTTGAGAGACTTCTCTACTGTAGCGGAGTGCCCCTTTACTTGCTTTCCCGAGTGACAGGTGTGGGTCCCCTTAACTCAGTTTCCCACAAGTCGCTGGACTCCCATCATTCCCTGTGCTCCTGGGCATGCCCAGCGAATATGAATTTCAGCTCTTTTTGCCCTTGGGTGCTTAGAGAGAGCCCCTCTGATGGAAAAGCAGTGACTGGTTATGTGAGCTGTCACCCAAGCCTGGATCCTCCACTGTTCAATCTGGTGTGTGGGCCACCAGAGAGCACAAGAGCATGTAGCTTCTGTTTAAGCCCCAGTCACTGGAGGGGACATTGTGGTAACAATGCGGCAAATTGTGTGCACAGAGTGGGGTGGCCTTGCCTCCAGCCATCAGAACCGCCTGATTAAAGGCCTTTGCATCGGTGCAAGTGTGAAGCCTACCTGGGCCCTGGGGTCACCTGTCTCTGGTATAAACTTGCTTCCCTGTGAGAGAAGTGTGACAGTCCTTTGAGGACACTGCAAGTATCTTTTCAATATCTCAGAAGAACTGGAGTACTGTATTGCCACCTAGTGGCCAGTAGAGGAGCTTTCCCGGTCATTTACGTGCTTATTACTTCTTTGATTGTAGTAATACTTGTTCTTTATTTTATTTTTTTTATGTTTTGTTCCATATGCTTAATAGGCAAGCAAAAATACATAAACAACAAGAAAGCTGTTCTTTATTTATCCTCTGTTCCTTTTTCTTCCACTGTGCAATCTTTGTTAAATTTCCAGTGTTCCGTGAATGTAAAATTGTACATTACCACTTGTGTGACCATTTGGCTGATTCCGATACACAACATCACTTCCTGTTATGTCTCTGGTACAAGAAGTGAAGGGAAATCTCCCCCATAGGACACAAAAAGAAAAACAAATGGTTTTATTTAAACAATCTCATACAACCTGTAAAAGTAGGAGTGGTGAGCACAATTCTTGCTTCCTTGAAGAACAAATAGTGATGCTGTTATCTGACACTTCCAGGTGTGTCCGATACTTTGTTCCCTGCTAGACATGATGATTCCTCCAAGTTCCCTTATGTATTTATACATGGTGATCATGTCCCCCCTTAATCGCCTCTTTTCCAGAGAGAACAAATTCAGGTCAGTTAATCTTGCCTCATAGCTGAGCTCCTCCATGCCTCTTATGAGTTTAGTTGCCCTTCGCCGCACTTTCTCTAGTTCCACAACATCCTTTTTGTGAACTGGTGCCCAAAACGGAACTGCATATTCCAGATGTGGTCCTATTAATGCTTTGTACAGGGCAGGGCCATCTTTAACTGCAATATCAATCTCACATTAAACAGAAGAGTGGCGCGGGTGCATCTTTTGCGGGCACAAGGGCAGGGCCGGTGCAAAGATTTTTGTGTGCACAAGTGAAGGTGCATTTTTCACCCCCTCCAGGTCATAGCAGAGCCACCTCCTCCAGCACACACATACACACAGCTCTTCTCTCCGTGTCACTCGCTCTGCCCTGCGATCATCCAGTGCTCTGCTGTCAGTGCTGAGATGCAGGGCCAGTGGTAAGAGTTTTGCAGAACAGAACCTGCTCAAGGGGCAGCTGCTTTAGAAACTGCGGCTTGTCATTGCACGCTATTCTTCAGTCTATGATCTACCAGAACACCCAGATCTTTCTCCATCATTGACTCCCCAAACATACTCCCCCTAGAGTGTATGACACATGCATGTTTTTTAGTCCCCAAGTGCAGAACTTTACATTTATCAACATTAAACCTCATTTGCCAAATAGATGCCCACTCAAACAATTAGTAAACTAAATGTGAGATTATAGCCCATCATGAGAGTGAGCATGGAGTGGTGGCTACTTTACATCACACACACAGGAACCATGGGGAACAAAAGTGAAAGTGTCAGCGTGAATTCAGAGATGGTTTGAGGATCTACAGCTGAGTGATACCCAAATAAGATACATTTTTGTTAATCGTTAAGGTACTTGAATGCATTTTTAAGATTTAACTCCTGAGTTTAGTGTCACTTTAAGAGAAAAACACAGCAAGTGATTCAGCCCACCAGACCCCACCTATAGATGAAATATCATCTTAGGTTGGGCTAAACTTTTAAATCTCCAATACTTACACTTTTCCAATATGCTGCTGTCTTATTGCTTATACATACAACTTATTGATGTACTTTAAATGCAACACATACTTTTATTTATTTATTTATTTACTTATAATGTCTGTTTTCCCCACAGAAGAGAAGCACTACCATGGTAAGGACCTCAAGTATTTGTTAAAGTAATTGGACAAGTTTTAGTTTCATGGTTTTTTTTTTTACATAGAATGAACAAAGCAATGTTTAAGTTGTTCTTTTGTCCTTATTCTCTTATGTGCACATTTATAAAGTTGTTTGTTTTCTGCTAACTGTTGTCTCTTCTTACTCATGCTAATAATTCATGTTATAGAGGGATAGGGAATACCGATTTTATATGGCACAGACTATTCACACAATATGTTTATTGCAGTTATTCATACAACACACTTAAAGTAGAACTGTGACCCAGCTACAAACATTCAAATATTTCCATATTTTTCAAAAGCAGTACATGAGCTTTGCAACAAGCCCTCACTGACCTATGTAGTTACATAGGTACAGGAATTATGAAGTAAACTTAATGTTTACAGCAAAAAACTCTGGGAGACAGTTATCAATTTTGTTACACCTCAAGGCCATCATAAAGAGGAGCAAATAGACAGCTTTATAATAATTAGGCATCATTCCTCCGGTGGCGTAACAACTAGGGGGGCGCCGGTACATCTGCCCCGGGCACAGGGCTGGGGGGGCGCCAGCCGCCGGGCAGTGACAAGCGGGCGAATTAAAGATTTACCGGCAATAATGGGCTGCCCTGACAGGCAATAAAAGGGCTGCCCTGGGGGCCTCAGGCGTGAGGACCCAGCGTGTAGCAGCTTCACAGTGCAGAGAGAGACGGAGACCAGCACGTCTGTGACAAGGTGAGTGATTTAATGTTTTTTTTTTCTCGGTCTCCCCCTGCAGCTTCCTCCGGCCCGTGTAAACTGACACCAGCCAGGAGGACCGTGTCAGACGGCTGAGGGACTACTCACCATTCCAGAACACAGAATAGCTGAACTTGAAAGTTTCAACTATTCTGTGTTCTATTACAAGAACACCATTTAGTTCAGCAGGTTTGAACTGAAGAGGGACCAAACGGCTTTAGGGCTCAGTCACACCAGATGCAGTGCGTTCCGGCCCAATTCTGGCCAGAACGCACTGCCTCGCATTGTGGCCGGCTCACTTTTTTTTTGTGGGAAGGAGGGGGTGTGGTGGGCCATTAAAGTAAATGGCACCGTAGCCACGCCCTCTGGCCACAATGCGATCGGCCGCACGTGATCGCAAGGCACATTATGCCTGCGGTCCGGTGCAAGCAAAATAGTACTTGCAGCATTTTGACCACAGGCATAATGTGCCTTGCGATCCTGTGCGGCCGTTCGCATTGTGGCCAGAGGGCGTGGCTACGGTGCCATTCACTTCAATGGCCCACCACACCCCCTGCTGCCCCACAAAAAAGTGACCCGGCCGCAATGCGAGGCAGTGCGTTCTGGCTAGAATCGGGACGAAACACACTGCATCTGGTGTGAAGGAAGCCTTAGGGATTTTAATATGAAAAAGTTTAATAGAAAAAATCAAACATCAAAAAAGTGGAAGTTCATATTCCATCTTCCCATTAAAAACCTTTGACAACGTTGTCCACAACCATTCACACTCCCACTCATACAGACAGCCCCGCACATTTCACAAATAATGGAAAATCACTGTTGCTGGATCTATCACTGACTCTGTGGAGGTCATGGAGGGTATAGAGGGTGTGGGCCCTATCACACCATCAAGAGTGCGTTCCAGTGCGTTCAGCCTCTGGAATGCACTGGAAGGCAACCTGGCTGGCTCACTTTGTTTTGGGGCGGGAGGGGGCATACTTGCAGCATTTTTGGCAGATCGCATTGGACCGGAACGCAGGCACTAATGTGCCACGCATTCCGGTGCCAGCGATCGCACCGCGGGCTGCGGGGCCATTGAGTTCAATGCACCGTCAGTGTGTTCCAGAGGCCGAATGCACTGGAACGTATTCTTGATGGTGTGACTGGGCCCTTAATAAAGACAGCAGAAAGTCCCCAGACACCAATCTCTGTCTTATTTAACCTAAAATGTAATTCCTTAGACAAATGGAAATTCCTGACTTAGTTGTACTAATCCCCTTCCTCCAGTTAGAGTATAGTACATCCAAAAGTCTTCAGCGATATCCACCGGTGTCATTACTCGCACTCTGAGGAGACCAACCAGGGCCGGCCTTAGGCCTTTAGGCGCCCTGTGCAAGAAAGCTTTACAGTGCCCATCAGTGACCACACCCCTCAGTGGTCACACCCTTTAGTGGCCACCCCCCGTAACCACACCCATTTCGCCCAATATCATTTAAAGACTCCTATTTTGTTAAGCCGCAAAGAAACATATTAAAAAGTATGATAAAAATGTAACTTTTATTCAAAGGTATTAAACTTGTAGGCACAATATAAGTATTCTTATCAAATAAATCAACAGAAGGCAAACAATAAATGTCAAACTAAAATAGAGTCTATAAAAATAAAGTGTCAGGTTGTCATGCCGACCCCTTTTTTAAAGTAAGTGTATCTAGAAAAGTAAAAATAGAAAACAGAACACAAAACCTAGACTATATGTAAAATGAATGAATTACTATATGTCCAAATATACGAAAAATATATTCCGGCACATAATAATTTGTTTGAGAATGTGCGGCGGCCATGTTGGCCACCGGCGTGTTCTGTGAATGCGTGCCACCATCTTGGAGGCGGGGAGCATGATGTTATATGACGCCATGCATGCCTGGCGTCAGGTGACGTCACACGCCGATATAGGTGTATATCTTGGTGTATACCTAGATATACAGAAAGATGGCGGCGCCCAACACGTGCGGTGTTATATGACGTCATGCGCCCTGCCTCGAGAAGACGCCAATGCCTGAATCCGTCCGCCCTGAAGTGGGGGGGGGGCGGCGGACGAGGGAGCGCTGTCATATCGGATGGCCAGCGGTGAAGGGGAGAGAAGCCGCCCCAGGACGAGCTATGTCGGCCGCACGGCGCCCTTGTTTCCATGGCGCCCTGTGCAGCCGCACAGCTCGCACACCCCTAAGGCCGGCCCTGAGACCAACATTGGTGGATATCACTGAAGACTTTTGGATGTACTATACTCTACCTAGAGGAAGGGGATTAGTACAACTAAGTCAGGAATTTCCATTTGTCTAAGGAATTACATTTTAGGTTAAATAAGACAGAGATTGGTGTCCGCGGACTTTCTGCTGTCCTCATTAACCCTCTAAACCCTCCACAGAGTCAGTGATAGATCCAGTACAGTGATTGTCCATTATTTAGCAAGTGTGCGGGGCCGTCTTTTGGTTTTGATTTTGGACAACATTGTCAAAGGTTTTTAATGGGAAGATGCAATCTGATGATTCACTTTTTTGATGTTTGATTTTTTTTCAAATAACCTTTTTCATATTAAAAACCTGTACACCACCACATATCACCGGGGAGGGGGGGGCAGGGGTGCAAAATTTTGTGCTGCCCCGGGCACCCGTTACTCTGTTAACGCCACTGCATTCCTCATCTGCTTTAAAATAGCTCTGTGACAGAATAAAGCCTTCCCCTGATCACTTTTTAATTGTGCATCTATTTTGAGTGAAAATCTGTATTATCTCCAGTGTTACATTTGTCTCAGTTTGCTTCTCAGGATTTAAGGTGCAGGGTGCTGTAAATATATATAAAAAAAAAAAAAACTTTGCATAGCCTTTGCTAACTGACAGGCAGCCTGATTTGCATGTGATTTTGTCCATAATTTGCTTTGCAGATGTCCCTATTTACCATGATTTCTCAACAGTTAGTTCAATTTATTTAAGTCAAACACAGAGTAAGTGCTCAGGAAGGAAGGATAGGACAGAATGCTGAGAAGATACTGCTTCTATTTGAAATGTGATAGCAGCTACAAAGGTTAGCGATGGCTTGTTTAAAAGCCCAATTACAGTTTATGCAAAATAAAATCCCCCCAATAATTCAGTCCCCAGCAGCTCCGCCACCTCTTGGCTGTTGTAGTAGAAAATGGCACTAACAAATATAATGCTTTGTACACTTCACACAGGCTTGCATTTTAAATGAGACTCTTGGCACAGAAGACTTGAGTCATAACTTTAATAGATAGAAGACTGTATTCTATACAACTGTTTTATGTTTTTCAGAATGTGGATGGCATAGAGGTATACAACATTAGCATCATCAGTAAGGTCACATCTCGTTTTGCCCATAATGTCATCAAAAGCAGGGCCGTTAATCATGCTAATAGATCTCAAGAAGCCTTCTTCAATGTGGATCTGCCCAAAACTGCTTTCATAACCAATTTTACCATGTAAGTATTCCCTGGGATTTACAGGTGTGAGATTAATATGTTAGGTTTTTATATACTCTATGATGCATGTAGAGACCTAGCAATGTGTACATACTACCCATTTTGCACACAATCTGAGCAGTGGCGGAACTAAGTTGCCCCGGCACCGCCTGCACCGGCGGTAGTTCCGCCACTGAATCTGAGCTCTAGACACACATACTGTATGTATAGTGTAGAGATCAGCATCAAATGGAGCATTTGTAAGGAGCCCGCTCGAACATCAGGTTGCATCTTAGGGCTTCTTGCACACTTTTGCTTGTACGCAGAACAAAATAACAAAGTCCACTCTCTCACAAGCAATACAAATTTTTTTTTCTGGCTGTTCACTGGACTTTTTGATCAGCTCTGTGCAGCTATTAACCCTCTGTCTAATGCTAAACAGCCAGATTGCGGGGAGCCAACCAGCCTATCTGACGCAAAAGTCTGCAGACACATTCTGGACTATACCCTTGACCAGCTGGGGCTGTCTATTAGATACCCACCAACCGTTTGAACCCAATGTTTCAATCATCTGCTGCCCAGAAACAGTGTGTCTTCTCACGAGGGCATCCACCTTTTTTTTATTACAAGAAGCACCGTGCTCCACTTTGAATGAAAAATAGAGGAGGGCCAGGAACCTGCAGGCAAACTTTGAGTTGTGCTCATTGGCCTCGGACATCCATGTTAAGGGACGTGGTCCGTTATTAGTCATATGTGATGCCCCAGCAAATAGTAGCATAAAGCCTCCAAGGCCGATTTAATGTCAGCTTCCAAAGTCAGCTTCCAACTTAAATAGACCACCTGGTGCTTCTCTCTATCTAACATTTGTGACAGCACGGACCCCAGACCTACATTTTTGGCATCAGTCTGGACCACAAATTCTTTGTTAAAAACCTGGGGCTACCAGCTCAGCTTGTCTACACACAGTCTGATTCAAACTTTAAAAGGCTTCTTCAACCATTGGTCTCTACTTGATCCCTTCACAGTTTTTGCCTTTGGTCAGGTCACTTAATGCTACAGTGGCAAAATTTGAGATGAATCTACGATATTAACCAACAATACCCAGGAAAGTTCTGACTTATTTCTTGGTGACATTTGAAAGCCACTCCCTGACTGCGTCTACCTTATGGATTTGGGGTTTTATCAGGCCCCGCCCAATGGTATATCCAAGATACCGGGCCTCTTGCAAACCTGTGGCACACTTTTTCAGGTGTGCTGAAACTAAAGGTTGCAAAATATTCACCTCCACTGCAGCAATGCAATGTCCGCAAGCTTCCTCCCAACATCTTCTCCCCAGTTTCTTCCACATATGGGGTCTTCAGTCGTCTTGATTGACTGCCTTAATTACCTAACTCTCAAGCACGTGCATGGTAGTTCACTCATCCTGGCACCGAGGGTTGCTGGAAATGTACACTAAGCTGTGCATGTGCAGGTCAGTGTACATTGTAAAGAAGATTGCTAACAGGCAGATAAGTTATTTTTTACTGCAGAGGAGGCATCACTTTTCTAATGGAATTTAGGCTGGCCTGAACCTTAGAGAGGCAACTTTCCTGATCTGTGCTAAAAATAACCATATCATCTAGCTAGACCACTGCAAAGTGTTGATGAGGCCTAAGATTATCATCCATTTGCTGGGGTTCCTTGTAGCCGAAAGTGTATTCAGGCATACTGAAACAAACCCTGTGGGGAAGAATGTTCTTTTCTTAAGCTTGCTGTGTCAGGGGAACCTGCCATCATTCCCTAATGAGATCAATGATGGTCACAAACCTGGTTACACACAACCTCTCAAACTTTCATTAACCTGTTGCATGGGATTTTAGAGCCTAAAATTACACCCACAGGAGTCATACAAGTAGCATAGTCTACCCCTCCATTACTTCAGTATTTTATCCATACACAGATATACTGCACCAGTTCCCCTGGTACCCTTTTCTTTAATTTGGTGATCCTGGGACATACCACTGGTGATGCTGGAGCACCCTCTTTGCTGCCTCTCACAAAGAAAGCCTGATGTTAAAAAATCTTAATACTAAGAGCTTTCTCACAGCCACCAATTGATTCAAACTAGTCATAGAAGCTTGTATGTGATATGCCATGCAGGAACAATAGAGAGAGGAAGTTTCACAGCACACATGTATTAAAGTACAGTATTAAAGTCTAATTGCTCTCCTCCTGACAATGTAGAGAAGCATGTGTGTTTATTCTGTTGATGATTACACAGAACTTGGAATAAAGTAAACTTTATGAAGGCTTCCATTGCTGACCTCAATCTGACTGCCACTGATTTTTTTTTTATCTGCTGCAAATAAAATTTAAAAAAAAACATGCAGCAAACAAAGTTAATTGAAGTCAGAATGCATGATATAAATGATTCCTCCAGGACAGTAAATAAGAAAATATTCAAGCTTTTGGATCTGCAAAAAAGACAAGCCACTAACATTTCCAGAGTTAGATCGGCACTGGCAGTCTCTGACGACTTTTGACCTTGTTGTTTAGTAGATAGCAGTAGTTGTTTTCTTATTTTTTCTAATTGCCAGAAATTGTTTTTTAAAACATATTTATGTTTTGGTAATAATATTTTTTGTACTGCCACAAAAGCTCATGTTAACTAACATAGTAGAAAATGCTATCAAATGATTAGTAATAAAAAACATTGTTTTTTAATGAAGGACAATTGATGGAGAAGAGTATCCTGGAATAATTAAGAAAAAAGAAGTTGCAAGGAAAGAGTATGAAACAGCTGTTTCTAGAGGACAGACAGCAGGACTCGTAAGGTAAATCTAACTTTACAATCAGTAAAAATATGTGAGACCATTACACAGTGCATACAAAACAGTGTAAAATATATCCCATAAGAACAAACAGGTTCTAGCAATACTATCTGGTTTGAAGATGCAGGCACATTGTTTCACTGGTAAACAAAGCTATGAATTTGTGTATTCTTTTTCTTGGTATCAGGAACTGCCATTATGGTTGTTACAATGCTGAATTTGAAGTGGGTGTACTCAATGGCTCTCCAAGAACTGACCAATAACAACATACAGTTTAAGGCCGCCCTGGCAGGTGGCTAAAATCCATCGCTGGGTTAAACACACTATAATGCCACTGGCCACCTCATCTTCAGGACTAGTGTCTCGCCTTGAGCTTCGCAGACACCTCAAAAGATTAATTGACCCCAGTTTACCTGCTGCCATTTATTAACTAACTTTTGACACCTAGAAATGTACTGAACCCCTTTTGGGGATCGAAATTGACCATTTGGGGAACCCTGATCTACAACCAGTCAGTGCTATGCCCATATGTTATCTCCTCATGCAACCATTCCAAATACAACATTCAAGTAATAAAGTCATTCCTTTTTAATTCTATAATGTTACTTTGCCTAAACTTTTTTCACCTAATGCTCTAAATAAATTGTTCACAAACGCTGTCAGTTATGTGTGCTGCCTTACTATACAGCTGCTTGACATTACTAGGTTACAATTTTTTTTGATGTTATTGATGGTGATTTTGTTTACAGTGCCTCTTCTGACAGGAAGACCGAGAAATTTACAGTGTCAGTCAATGTGGCAGCGAAAAGTAAAGTTACATTTGAATTAGTCTATGAAGAAATGTTGAAGCGTCACCTTGGAAAATATGAGATGTTCATCAAAGTCCAACCGAAAACACTTGTTAAAAACTTTCAGGTTGCTTACAGTTTATCAACTTAATTTGACTATATATGGTGATAACTTATATTCCTCCTTTGAATATGTAAATGAATTAGAGAATAAAGGAATGAATGGATGAATTAAATAAACTACGCATTTGATAACATTCTACAGATCAGAGTGTAAAGGTTACAAAGGTATTAAGTGTGTCTGTCTTAGAGATTCTTGCATGATGGCAAAAACAGAACCATAAAGAAGTGCAAAAAACATTAGGAAATGTGCATATCATCAGTACTCTGTCGCAGTGCTGGTCAACTTCAAGATTATGGACGGCCTCAAGTGTGGCCTCTGATATTTTGAGAGGGTCGCACAATAGCATTGAGGTGCATTTTGTCAAGTTAGGCAACCCATTCCTTTTTTTTTTTTAAACCAACCAAATAAATCTATTATTATTTATGTTTTATATGCACGTTTGGAAATGTTGAGACATAAAAAAGTGACGATTCCAATAGCAGTTATATGAGAGGGAGAACAGTTTTTTTTTTTTTAGCTGTTGGACATTTTGCATAATATTTAGCTAGTTAAAACTACCATATTGTGTGTATTTTCAAACCTTTTTTTTAGCCATTAAAGGACATGATTTAATTCAGTACAGTCTTAATTCATGACCCACAGTCAAATTTGTATCGGTGCATATCATTTGTTAATCTGTACAAGTATAAGTATTTAACTGCAGGCAATGATGGATTGTTTAGGGGAGGCCATCATGAACACTGAAAGCCATTATATCTGTAAAATATAAGTCAAGGCTACTGGACTTGCTGTATTTTTCTTGAAGATGTTTCACTGGTCATCCAACCAGCTTTCTTAATTCAGAATGACTTGTACAAAAATTATCTGGAAATAAATATGGTGAATGTTGCTCCAATCCACATAATCTGTTAGTCACAACCAGGTGTTGATTACATTTGCATAATTGGAGCCTAGGAAGTGTTATTAACTTGTATTGTTGGGTTTAAAGCAGACAGGGATGTGATGTTTTTAAAAAATCCTTCTGAGTTTCTCAGACACCCCAGCTACATATGGAAAGCCATTGTTTTTTGATAGACAAACTAGTTGTACTCTTAATTAATATGTTTACATTTGTAAATTTTTCATATTGGCTTTTAAAGAATGCCGGTTAATGTGAGAAATGTCATTTAATAAATTAATATCTTAAACTTGTTTCCTTCTTCCCCTATATCAGATTACTGTAGATATACAAGAACCACAAGGCATCAGCTTTTTAGATGCCAAAGCATCATTTATAACAAATGATTTGCGGCCAGCCATCAAAAAATCATTTGCTGGAGAAAAGGTACAAATCAGTCAAGTTTGTGATTGTCGTTGTATTATCAGGAATTCACATTCCTGTCTCCTCTTCAGTGTTCAAAACTATTAATACATGTTTTTTTTGTTAGTTTAGTGAAGACACAATCTAAAATGTAAGGTTGGTCCTATAAGATATTTTCAAGAGATGTGTAAGAATTTCGTCACTGTGGAGAGATCAAATGATTGCATACTTCACCTCTAGTAGTCACCTTTCATGTTGCTTTATGTGCCTGGTCCAGTACTTGGTTGCTCTCTGTAACATAATGAGAACCTGTGCTTGGTTAAGGGTTTGGTATGGATTTTGAGTGGGATTCCAAGCAAAATAAAATAGACGTACGGTTCCTCCAAAATCTATACTAGACCGTTATCCTTGAGGATTTCCTGGTATGGATTTTAGGGGGAACTCCACACAAAAAACAGAAAGAAATGGCATGGGGACCCGTAAAGATCAGGCACCAGACCCAAGGGGGGATCCTAGACAAAACAATGGCGTGGGCTTCCCCCTTCTGAACCAAACCAGGCCGCATGCCCTCAACATAGAATGGTACCTTGCCAGAGCCCCCCTTCTTTGGCATGGAGCTGATGTCCCGATGTTGATGGGGACAAGGGCCTCTTGCCCACATCCAGTCCCTAAGAGGATGTGAGTTTAATATAAGGGGCCCAAGATATCTGGCCCTGCCATGTAAATGAATAAGGGGTAGTAATACTGCCACTAAATGAATTGGTCTGTGCATGATGGGGTATTCGGGCGGAGATCGAACAACGGTGAGGGCACAAAAGAAATCGAATGGTAATCGATAGGTGTATGGCCAGCTTTATGGTGACATAATTTACCAGCAAAAGTTTCATTTAAAAGAAGGCAAAGTCTTTTCAAATTGACAAAGTTTACTTACAAAATAGAACAGAATGTTTTGTTCCACCCTATTTGAAATATGAGGCAAATAAATGTAGAAATAGATAAACTGTCCATATCAGTTCTAGGTTTAATACACCCTTATTTTGTCTTTCAGGGTCAAGTCTCTTTTACACCCACAATAAATCAACAGCGAACCTGTGCTAACTGTACTACTACAATACTGGATGGAGATTTTACTGTGACATATGATGTACTCAGAGAATCTCCGGAAAACATACAGGTAATAAGTTCGATTTTTGAAGATCTCTCAGACTGCACAAATGCACCCTCCCAATGTTGATAGCACGTGGCCTGGTATGGGGGGGGCTCACTCACCCCACCCTTTACTGCCCTGCCAGGCCAGTGCTCGGATTAAGGGTCTGGTTTGTAATTTTAGGGTGGACCCCACTGTGCATTGAGCACTCCAAAAACTAAAAGAAAAGGCTCTATCAGCATAAAATAAAAAAACATTATACCACAAAAGAAATGAAAACCCACCATAACCAGAGTTTGTCTTTGTCATTTGTCTTTATCATTCCCCTGTCTAATTGTCTTCCTTCCCTTTTGTTCCAGTCCTTAATATTTTTCTTATATTATGGGACATGAGTGCTCTTATGTCATTCATGCCTTTTTCAATAATTGTTCAATAATCTTTGAATATCTTTATGTGATTTGTGTACTGTTTCTTTGTTTAAATTAATAAAACTTAAATACATTTAAAAAAAAGAATTGAAAACCCCAAAATACCACCCCCTAAAACTTTTGATGTTAGCTATGGCTAGGACAGCAGCTAAACTAAATAAACAGTGAATTAATTAATTCACTTAAATGTTCATAGCATGGTCACAGATTCATTTTAACACTTTCACTGATAAAGTTGCACCAATTAAATATATACCACACATGTCAAGATTCAAAATTGGCTGTGGACATGTAACGGACTCACCCGTCCTTCGGTCCCGGTGCGTCAGGGAGTTCCGTCGGGGCCGCAAAGACGTCATCAGAGTCGACGTCAGTGGGCTCCTCCCCTTCGTTGGTATAAGCCGACGGATTCACTTGCCTGGCGTTCGTGCAAGTGTGTTGACACCAGGCAAGTTCCTCCGCGACTCACCGAACGTCCCTCACTATTGGGCCGGACAGAGCCCCATCCTCAAAGGCAGCCAGCTGCCTCTTGTCCTCCCGTCTCTCAGCCGGTCTACGGCTACTGAAGCCGCCCACGCACTGCCTCATTACCCTCAGCCCTCTCTTCCCACATCTGAGGGAACAACATCGCCTGCCACACAACTGTTGTCCACTGGCACTGCGGGACCGCTATCTACTGAACTGCAAGTACTATATTCAATCTCAGTTGCCTATACTGAATTACAGCTACTATATCCAATGTCAGCTGGCTTCTACTGAACTGCATATACTATATCCAATGTCTGCTGCCTCATACTGAACTACAAATACTATAACCACTGACAGCTGCCCTATACTGAACTGCATATACTATATCCAATCTGAGTGCCTTATATTGAATTACAAGTGCTATATCTGAAGCTGTGATCCACACGTCTCTAGACCAGCAGGGGCCTGGTGTGTTACAGGACATGAAATAGTGAAAACCTATGGTACCCCAAATTTGCCACAGGGGACACTTTAAAAACCTTTACAGGTCATCACTTTAGAGTTAGCAAAGAACTATGGCCCTATTGCTCTGGCACAATGGTTTTCGAACGTAGGTGCACCCAATGCATGTGTTTACATCCATATGTGTGTGTGTACATGGGGGCGAGGGGCTTTAAAAATGTTTTCATTTTTTCCATTTAACTTTTCTATTTTTTACCTTTTTAGTCTCACAAGCCCCCTATGTGACAGCACATTATTGGTGACAGGGTTTCTTCAAAGAGACATTAGGGGTCTATTAGACCCCCAATATGATCTATGTACTCTAATGAAGCCGATCAAGCACAGATTGTGCTTGACCAGCTTCATCCCTGTCCACAGTGATAGAAGAATAACAGCTCAGAAATCAGAAGTGACAAAATCCTCATTGCTTCTGGGTTCATTAACCAGAGGTGAGATTAGCGAGTGGATATTTGCTAATTTCTCTTCACTCTAGCCATTGACACCCGCCATAGCTGCCACAGGCCCAAATTAATTTCAACAGAAAGCTAGCAGTCAGCAACATGGAAGTATGCATACTGGGCCATGCTGCTGTCACTGCCACTGCGATATGGCATATGGAAAGAGTGAAAGTGTATCCTGCAACCCTGTCTGCCACTTTTGCTGAACAGCTAAGTATGGTAAAGGAAGTTGAGAAATAACAGATGTACTGGCTAGATCACCAGAGGAACATAAATGACAAAAGGCAAAGAAAAAGAAAAGTAATGTAACTACCACATTCAAGGATTGATAAGCTGCAATATATTACATTCATATTGCTTTCTTATTCTGCGGTAATAAAAAAAACTTACAGACAAAAGTTGATTTAGTCCTTTCTTCATTTTTAGGTCGTCAATGGATATTTTGTTCATTTTTTTGCTCCTAAACTTGGTGGAGTGCCCAAAAATGTTATGTATGTCATAGATATAAGCAGCTCAATGTCGGGTCAAAAAATGGATCAGGTAAGAGATAAAATATAACAGTGTTAATGTTTAGAATACATGTGTTATTTGTCACTAATAATAATGTGTTTCTATATTTAGACAAAAGAAGCCCTCCTGCAAATTTTGAGTGACACAGCAGAGCATGACTACTTCAATTTAATATTGTTTAGCAGCGGCACTTCAGTGTGGCGTAACAGTTTAGTGAAAGCAACTCCAAGAAACATAACAGCTGCCAAGGAATTCGTCAGAAACATTTATGCTAGCGGGTGTAAGTAAAAAAAAAAAATGTTTTGCATTGCACATGTGTAATCTGCATATGTTTAAACGGCAAATCCAGGCAGCAAGTGAAATCATTGAATCTAATAATCATTATCATCACAATAATGTAAAAACAAAATTTTCAATTGGTTAAAGCTAGACATTTACAGGTCCTCAGCACAGGACTATAGCCTCCTGCCAGTCTTTCCATGCTGTGCAAACTTTAAAAGGAAACTAAAAGTGTGGAGAGGATCAGGAGTGGAAATATTTTGCTTCTTTTTGATGCATATCGCACAGAAAGAAAATGTTACAATGGACGTATATGCTAGTCTACGTTCACACTTGCTGTTCACAGCTGCTATACTTTTGTACATGTTTGGTACTTATGAACACGTGGGCAGAGATGTGCATTTTACCGACAATGTATAGGGTGCCATTAACAAGCAACGGCGCCGCAATCGTGTCACGTGTTTTTACCGTGTTGTGTAAACACGTGACGTGATTGCTGTGTTATTGCTTGTAAATGGCACCCTAAATGCAGACGGTAAAGCGCACCTTTTTGCCCACTAGTTGACGTGTGCAAAAATGCATTGTAAAAAGTGCATGAAGCTGGTAGCTCAAACTATTGCATGAGCTTCTTTGCTGCGTTTGTCGTGCACGGGACAGCACTTTGAAAAGGAATAGCTGTAGTGCGGCAAAGCGTGCACAAACACGGCGCGCCACAGGTGTGAACAGGGCCTGAAAGTGAACCCATCATCATGAAATTTACACAGCAGGGCTGTGCTATCTTATGTCAGAGACACCTTCCTGGTGGCTGGTGATCTAAACTGGTCGAGGAATGAGAAAAAAGCAGGAGAGGTGGAGGAAGTACAGATCTACAGAATCAATGAAGCAAAATCTGAGATATTCTTGCACTCCAGGTCTTCAGGTGCAGCGTGTTTCCTGCAAGCCCTCAGGATCCCAGTGAGCAGCACAGTAGTAACATCACCAAATCTCTCTCTAAATCTCTTGAGACTAGCAGTAAGATGAACAGTGCCTTAGATGATCTCACACTGCGGATATACAGAACAGAACAGGATTGTCTAGACTAGTGCACTGCTATTTTTTAGTAGAAATTCAAGACAAAAGGTGCATTTTTCAGGGTACTGCTTAAAGTGCATCATAGCAAAAATATAATTTTTGTAGCTTATCATTCCATAGATTTGGAAGCTGCATTATTTTTATTTTTTTTCATTCTAGATGATCCCTATAAGATATCAAATCTTCACTTTTTGTGTTCAAGTCCACTTTAACTTTTCTCTCCATTTTCTTTATTCCCGCTCCCCACATTTTAGCTTAAACCATATGCTACTTTCCTCCAAGGTGCTGAGAATTTGTTCTACTCCAGTAACACTCTAGACCACCCTACCAGTATCTGTGCACTCATCCCTTTTTTTTATACCCCTCAGTGCTCCAACCATGGAGACAGACACAGCTGATCTCAAGACCTTCTTTGGTCTTTTCTTAGGCCCACAGCATAGAAACCAAAACACTTTATAGGACCTAGCACCTAATAAAACAGGCAACATGTAAGGAAATGGGCAACCAAATGTAAATATTTATAACATTTTCAGTGGAATTGAGATTTCCTTCGTAGCATAGCTGCAATGCTTCCTGAATGTTTTTTATGGCTCACTCAGTGATTATACTTGCATGGAGTTGCCTTTTTAAAGGAGAATTATGAGACGAGTGATTTTCACTTAGCCTCATAATCTGGGCCGACCTGTGACACTGAAACTGTCACAGGTCGGCTCAGTAGATCGGGAAGTGAGCGAACACATACCGGCGCTCGCTCACTTCTCGATCTATCCGTGCAGAGAGCCGTGACTGCCATTCACGGCTCCCTGCAGGGATTCCCCCCCACCCCTGTCCGATCCTCCAGTGCTGACTGGCGGAACGGACGGGGGAGGGGGCGGGTACAGCTGGCTCTGCCTTTAGTTAGGCAGAGCCAGCTGTCACTCAGGCAGCTGGGTGGATCCAGACAGAATTGTCGGGATCCGTTCCAGATGCAGCGTCTCAGTGTACCACCAGCTGTAGCTCGTGGTATACGGGAGGACGCTAGTTTGTGTCCTCCCGTTCCCCTAAGGAGAACTATGGGGAAAAGCCCTAACCCCATAGTTCTCCTTTAAAGTGATGTTCTATTTGCACTTGTTATAGGTTGTTGCATTAAAATGGTGCAATGTTTTATCTTCTAGATACAAATATTAATGACCCCTTGTTGCTGGCAGTCTCACTGCTGGATAGAGCACATCAGCTAAAGCAAGTTCCAGAGAGGAGTGTGTCTTTAATTGTATTGCTGACAGACGGTCAAGCTAATACTGGTAAGTTGATTCTCATTACTTTTGTTTGGTTAACTCTTTTTTTTTTCTATCGTTTTATGCATCTTTTTATTTTATTTTGTGAACAATAAAAAGATAGGTACACAGGCTCTCCAACCTGACTCACTGCAGTGGATACAAAACACTCTGCCTCTGATCATCTATCTGCCTTTCTGACCACACTGAGTTTCATTAATCATCTACTGTATTTTTAATGGTTTGGTGAAAGTGACCCTGTTGCTAAACTATAATTCCCCATAAAAGCTGTATCTGTAACTAACATACTGCCAATTGCAATGCTGAATGCAGCTCCAGTTAAGACCTTCCCCTGGAGTCTATGCAGAAACTGACCATACCAGAAGTGGTTCTTCTTACTGACCTGCATCTGAAGTGAATAGCCGAACAGTGTTCGGCTCACTCCACTTCTGATCGGTCATTCCCTCGGCAGCTTTGTGAATAGACCCCTATGTCTTGTACATGCATAAACGGCACTGAAAATATGAGAATGGGGTCTAGGGGGGAATGTTGTAATTTATAAACAGATGCTCTTGTGTTGTACTCTGGACATATTGGGTTCAATATTTGAGGCCTTCTGTTACTAACAAGCTGACGACCACTGCTTAAAACCCAAATGTCTTATCACTGAACCAGAAATATTTCCATTGTAAGGTGAATCAAACCCAACACGAATCCAGCAAAATGCAAAAAGAGCAATTCAAGGAAGATACACCCTGTACTGTCTTGGCTTTGGCTATGGTGTAGATTATCCTTTTCTGGAAAAGTTGGCACTGGAAAATTCTGGTATTGCCCGTCGTATATATGAGGACTCTGAAGCAACCTTGCAGATGCAGGTAAACATTTGTCATAACTAGTAGGTTTATCCTAATTCCCATGAAATTATTGCAGGAATATTAGCAAGTCACAAAAAACAAGATTCATTATTATCCTCCATGATAGTATAAAGAGAAAAGAACACCAATTTCCAGTCTTTGCATCTGGGGGGTTCTTGTGCAAATCTTTTCACTTTTCGTGCGTATGCACCACCTTCATCTCGCGTGCCTTACCCTAGTTGCCACTACCTGCTTCATCAACATCAGCACTCTCAACAAGGGATGCTCCACACCACACCCCAACCCAGCCAAGTGCTCTGCACTAATCCTCAACACAACGCTGTCCTGCACATTGCTTTAGAATACATGCCTCGTTTCACACCTCTGCACCTTAACATTGACCTCTAATAGCACTGTGCTCTAAATCCTGTCCATCATAGCCCCACACCCTGCACACCTCTGGGCTACAACACTCACCTCCAAGAGCTCTTCTTCAAATCACTTCCAAACAAAACCATGTGCTTCACATCACTCCACAGCACAGCCCTGTGCTCCACACTACTCTGCAACACAGCCCTTTTTGGTACTAGGCTCCCAAACACAGACCTCTGTTTCATACCAGCCCCCAACAAGGTCAGCACATTTATATATAAGTACAGTGTCGGAACTACTGCCATAGCTGCTCACACAGCCTCTATGGGGCCCGTGGTACATGTGGGGCCCTGTCAGGAACAGGAGGGAGAGCTGAGATTGCTCTTGGTGTCCTTCTGTGGCTGACCGCTGTGCACTTCTGCTGTGGTGGAGTGAACTCCTCCCTGACTTCTGCCCACTAGTTCTGTCTTTGACGTGAGAGCCAGCAGGACCTGAGGAGAGGACTCTCAACCAGGTACCTCCTGTATGCTGGGAGATAGTGAGGAGCCCAGAATGGAGCACAGGCTCACAGCCACAGTACAGGCACTGAATCTGGGCTGGGGCTTATAATGTTTAAGATTCCACACCAAAGAAGCTGGTGAAAGTGGGGTATAATTTATCACCCCCTTTACCCAGCTTCTTTAGGTAATTGAATAGGTACTTCTAAAGAGGGCAGTGGATGCAATATTCATTATTGGATAATACTGACTATAAATCAGTTTGTCGAAAATGTGCACTAAACCATGCTAAAGTTGTACAAGAATATAGTAAAACTTGAACTTCAGACTATTTTAAGCAAGTTCATGAAAGGTCTTAAGTTTTAACAATGGATTGTGGACTTTCCTATGTTCAGCTAAAAAATAATTATCAGTTTATTTCTGAAGACAAGACAATTAAAATGTCAATGGAATGTTAAGCTTCTGCTAATTCTGTTTGTATATTTCAGGGATTCTATAATGAAATAGCAAACCCAACATTATCGGACATTAAAATGCAATATCCTGAGAATGTTACATCTAATGTCACTCAGAACACCTTCAAACACTACTTTGATGGCAGTGAAATAGTTGTTGCTGGACGTATAACCGATAACAGCTTGGACTTATTTTCTGCAAATGTAAAGGCAGAAGGAGTAAGTATTTCACACTCAGAATAAAAGCATTCTATATGAAAAAAATATGTATACACAAGCTACATTTTAAACATTGTATGTAATTCAGGTTAAATATTTCCAAAGTAGAAATGTATCCATTAAAAGTCTTTGGGTGGATTCACAACTTTGTATTATGTAATGCATGGAGATTTCCTCCCACCTTCCATCCCTAAAAGTTCAATTGTCATTGGGATGGGTAGGCATGAACAACAATAAAAAGATTGTCAGAAATTCTTACTCTTCTATAAAGTGCATTTCCACTTTTGCATTCAAATTTGAAAAAAAAAAAACTCTATATGGTTGTAATGTGTTCCGATTCCCATAGCATACAAAAAAATAATGTTTAAAAAAAATATTTCTTACCTTTTAGTTTTGTTGCAGCAGGCAACGTGGCTGATTCATTTTTTCCCCCAACACTTTCACAGTGACTTGTCCTTATAGAAAGACAAAGGACTGAAATTTGAGGATTGTGTTTCCTTTAACTCTTTGTTAGGACAGGCAGTGTTCACATCTACTTTACAAATGATAATTAAATCAGCCAGCACAGTACAGAAAGGGTTAAAATACCCCTCACAGGCCCTCCTAACATTACATCTGAACACCCCTCCAAATAGAAATGTTAACCCTTGAAGAGCCAAGAAACCCTAACCCAAGTAAAAGCAATCTAAACTGCAGCAAGCATTTTTTAAATATTTTTTAGCTTATGCTACTGTACGTGAATGGAAACAAAATAAAAAATATAAACTATGTGTTAATCCGAAATTGGCTGCAAAAGTGGAAATACACTTTAAGCTTTTTAAAATGTAAAAACGTGTAAATGTAGAGTTTGAAATGGATTTAGTTGTCAGTAAGCGGACAATGTTTTATGAAGCTTTAATTCTCCTCTAGGCTTACAAGGGGCAGTTATTTTAAGCCCAATTCCGAAAAATACATAATCCCCTTCCCTCTCACTCCTTCCACATAGTGCTACATTTTTTTGTTTTTAATTTTCCTCTGTACTTTCATGAGAATCATCCCTGTAGCACTCACTTGATCTCTGCAGTGCTCCCGGTCTTCCATGCAGTTGCATCCGCTGGGTGAAGTAGAGGGGTGTACACAGTTCATACTACAGCTTGGTAACCTAACTGTCCACACTCAGTGATTGAGGCCCCGTTCACATATAGCGAATTGTCGCGTGATTTCCGCCGCGATATCGCGCATTTTTGCCGCGCGATATCACGAGAAGTCGCCGGCCAATGCTATTCAATGGAGCTGTCTTAACTCCATGTCGCTCGTCGCGGTCGCAAGTCGCTTCTACCGGACCCTTTTTTCGGCGGATTTTGCGCGATTTTGCTTTTTTTCTATGGAGCCCGACGGAGAAGGTCGCGCTACCGTCGCTGGATCGTCGCTGGAACGTCGCCCCGAAAGTCGCGCTATCCCGGCCGCTGACAAGGTATGTCGCTATATGTGAACGGGGTCTAAGTGTGAACGGCCAGTTGTAGATGGATGAGCTCCTCCCTCTGCTCTCTCAGTATGTCAGCATGTTTATTCAAGAAAGCTAATTGGCTCACTTTTCTCCCAGTGCTGACCCTCTACTTAACTGAGGAGCCTCATACCAAATAACATTTTGCTATCTACACTTTTTTAATTTAAAAATACATTACGGCAACTGTTATGGGTTTCCCCATAAACTTAATAAATAAGAAAATAGCAGCTCAGTCTCCAATGCTTAAAGCACTCACCTCATGTTATGGACCAATTCTTTACACTGAAAGTGTAATGATGCAGAGAGTGAGGCTGATGTAATTACATCAGCACCACTCTTTGCATCATTGGGAACGCCTGTGCCAGCACCGGAGAAAAGGAGGACCCTATGTGTCACATGACTGGCCTTAAAACACTTGGAAAAGATAAGTACAAAAAGAAAAATATGTGCACCGGGCGTGAAGACTTTAGACCAGGGGGTCCACTGAAGGGGAGAAGAGCCTGGAGCCTGGTGTTCTGCAGACTATGACATACAAAATAACATAAAAGAGTATGAACAAACACATAAGCCATTTAAAAAAAAACAAAAAACACACCTGAGAGGACAAGACCACCCCCTGTAACCAGGAATGAGGATTTTTAAAAAGCTGGCATTCTTGTTCAATTATTGTTATATTTTAAATATTGAAAGAAAATATCAAAACATATTACTTTATACAAGAAAAATGGCAAATTTTGTTGTGTCCATTGTTCTGTACATCTGAAAATGATATAGTTAGCCTAAAGTCTGAATGGACCCTTGTGTAGGTAATTGTTTTATTGCTTTATCAGGCAAACAAAACAGTGAGCTACGGTGAAAACATTCAACTCAAAGATAAAGATGCCGAGAGCAAACAGCAGTACATATTTGGTGATTTTACTGAAAGGCTCTGGGCCTACCTCACCATACAGCAACTGCTGGAGAAAAGGTATGTACACCTGCGATGTCTCCGATGCTTAATTTTTAAAAATGCATACACCATATAGCTAAACGTTTGTAAATGACTTACCATGACACCTATAGTATAAGAGCTTGTTGGACATTCCAATCCCAAACCATGGGCATTACTATGGAACTGGCTTCCATTTTAGAGCTATTACAGCCGCTGCTCTTCCGGGAAAGCTTTTCACAAGATTTTTGTCGCTCGTCGCGGTCGCAAGTCGCTTCTACCGGACCCTTTTTTCGGCGGATTTTGCGCGATTTTGCTTTTTTTCTATGGAGCCCGACGGAGAAGGTCGCGCTACCGTCGCTGGATCGTCGCTGGAACGTCGCCCCGAAAGTCGCGCTATCCCGGCCGCTGACAAGGTATGTCGCTATATGTGAACGGGGTCTAAGTGTGAACGGCCAGTTGTAGATGGATGAGCTCCTCCCTCTGCTCTCTCAGTATGTCAGCATGTTTATTCAAGAAAGCTAATTGGCTCACTTTTCTCCCAGTGCTGACCCTCTACTTAACTGAGGAGCCTCATACCAAATAACATTTTGCTATCTACACTTTTTTAATTTAAAAATACATTACGGCAACTGTTATGGGTTTCCCCATAAACTTAATAAATAAGAAAATAGCAGCTCAGTCTCCAATGCTTAAAGCACTCACCTCATGTTATGGACCAATTCTTTACACTGAAAGTGTAATGATGCAGAGAGTGAGGCTGATGTAATTACATCAGCACCACTCTTTGCATCATTGGGAACGCCTGTGCCAGCACCGGAGAAAAGGAGGACCCTATGTGTCACATGACTGGCCTTAAAACACTTGGAAAAGATAAGTACAAAAAGAAAAATATGTGCACCGGGCGTGAAGACTTTAGACCAGGGGGTCCACTGAAGGGGAGAAGAGCCTGGAGCCTGGTGTTCTGCAGACTATGACATACAAAATAACATAAAAGAGTATGAACAAACACATAAGCCATTTAAAAAAAAACAAAAAACACACCTGAGAGGACAAGACCACCCCCTGTAACCAGGAATGAGGATTTTTAAAAAGCTGGCATTCTTGTTCAATTATTGTTATATTTTAAATATTGAAAGAAAATATCAAAACATATTACTTTATACAAGAAAAATGGCAAATTTTGTTGTGTCCATTGTTCTGTACATCTGAAAATGATATAGTTAGCCTAAAGTCTGAATGGACCCTTGTGTAGGTAATTGTTTTATTGCTTTATCAGGCAAACAAAACAGTGAGCTACGGTGAAAACATTCAACTCAAAGATAAAGATGCCGAGAGCAAACAGCAGTACATATTTGGTGATTTTACTGAAAGGCTCTGGGCCTACCTCACCATACAGCAACTGCTGGAGAAAAGGTATGTACACCTGCGATGTCTCCGATGCTTAATTTTTAAAAATGCATACACCATATAGCTAAACGTTTGTAAATGACTTACCATGACACCTATAGTATAAGAGCTTGTTGGACATTCCAATCCCAAACCATGGGCATTACTATGGAACTGGCTTCCATTTTAGAGCTATTACAGCCGCTGCTCTTCCGGGAAAGCTTTTCACAAGATTTTGGAGCATGCCTATGGAAATGTGTGTCCACTGAACCAAAAGAGTATTTGTGAGGTCAGGTGCCAATGTTGTATGAGAAGACCTTCCAATCTGCTTTCTGGTTCATCCCAAGAGTGCTGAGTGGGGTTGAGGTGTGTGCAGGCAACTTGAGTTCCTTGACACCAAAGTTATCAAGCCATGTCTTTATGGAGCTGGTTTTATGCACAGGGCCAATCATACTGGAACAGAAATGGCTTTCCCCCAAAACTGTTGCCACTAGGTGGGGAGCACACAATTGACTAAAATGTATTTGCATGCTGTAGTATTAACAATACTCTTCATTAGAACCTCTGACCTCAATCATTTGGAGGGGTGCCCACATGCTTTTTTTCCATATAGGGAGGTTTGATGGTTAGATGGCCACAAACATTTGGCCATATTGTATATCTGTGATCTGCAAGAGGCTCTTCTGAGCAGCTGCTTGTCTGTTTCCTGTATCTCAGGGCCCGTTCATGCCATGCGTTGTGTTAATGCACACACGCTAAATATATGTTATCTCTTGTTTTACATATGTTGCGATAAGAAGCCCATTCATTTTAAATGGGTCTTAATGCACCAATGAAACTGCAAGTTGCATTTTTCTTAACACAATGCACAGATCATTCACATCTGTGCACTGTGGTGCATTACACCACATATATGCTGTGTATTCTTTTACAGTGTAAGGGTGCTATTCAAAATGAACACACTTTGCCTTCTGATTGTGGAAATGCATGGATTTTACAGTGCGTTAAAGCAGCTGTGTGAACGGACCCTTGCTAATACATTACAAGTTGCCAGCATCAGCTTTCACGTGCTGTAAGTGGTAATTAAGTAAATGTCCCGCTGTACTCCTGACCGGTATTCCCCTGGTTGGATGGATGCTGAAGTGATTCTACGATTGGCAATGCATACATCCAAGGAATCAGTGACGGGCCGTGCCTTCTGTGCTGGGTGAGGCATCCCCCCAGCCCGCGGAAGTTCTGCCTGACCTGCCTCTCCTGACTGCACGTCCCTGCAAGGAATAAAGAATATGTCACCAGCACACCAAGGATCTTTGCCCAAAAAACACCTTTATTGACGTTTCATTAATGCAACTTGTTTGACACGATGCTGAAATGTCAGTGAAGGCATTTTCTGATTGAAGATCCTTGGTGTGCTGGTGATACATTCTTTATTCTTGTGGCTGGTAATGAGACCATGATCTGAATATACTAAATATACTTTGTATCATGTCTTGTAATGTTATGCAACAGTCAGTCATCAGCAATTGTTTTATCCCAATGGGTTTGATTTAAAATACCTTTTTATTCACCACTTCAGAATAGTATATGTACTGGTGATTTTATCTTGCCTGGAGTTTTCTTTATTGTGTGTTATTAAACCTCAGATTGTACATCATTCCAAATATTTGATATAGCCCACATCTATATTGTTGAGCAGTATAGCATTCAGTGTTTGTCATCCCTTATCATATCAATATACATTTTCTAATCACAGGGTATATGCTGACCCATTAGAAAAGGAAAAACTGACATCTCGAGCATTGGAGCTTTCTCTTAAGTTCAAATTTGTGACTCCTCTAACATCAATGGTGGTGACCAAACCTGAGCAGAAAGAAGAAAAGGAGCAAACTATAATTGCTGATAAATTTGTGGAGGGTAAGATGGCCTGTGTTTCAAAACTTAGGAAGCAGTTACCTTTCTATAAGCAGAAAGGGTAACCAAAGTCATAGTACACTATGTAATAACTTGGAAATGCTGTATATACCAAATATCTCTATGAAGGGAGGGCTATTTGGTTGGAGCTTTACTTTACAAGAAGACCTTAGCTTAACCAAGGGTATAATGGAATATACAGGGCATCATGCAGGGGCATGTCAATCTACAAATTTGGGTTGGAAGGGGTAAAAGTAAAAACAACATTTATTCTTTTACATTAAAAAAATAATTCACACAAGAAACTAGGATACAAGGCTGCAGGCATGCATGGTACAGCCTACACCTCAAAAAAAAATAAAAAAAAATACACCAGTGCATTCCAGTATTGTTTGAGGTTGTATTGCTATCTGTGACCTCATTGGGATGGGTGTCCCAACATCCTTTCTTTCTTAATAACAGTGGTCACCGAAGCAGGACATCTCTCAGTACAGCAATGAAGCACTTTATAGTAGAACTGAAAGCTTCTGTATGATAGTCTAATCAAACACCAAATCAAGCTACAATGGTATGCACATAAAGTACCTTCCCTGACTGAGCCAAATCCAACCGTTATTTGTGTCTTACATGCTTCCCCTCCCAGACACTGCAGCTCACAGTAGGAGGGTTCCAGCAGCACAGGCAGTGCTAGGTGTGGTCAGGTGCTGATTAGAAAGCTATAGATGTGGGATTCAGCAGTTACAATGCGGAGAGCTACATCCTCTACACCAGTGGTGGCGAACCTTGGCACTCCAGCTGTTTTGGAACTACAAGTCCCATGAGGCATTGCAAGGCTCTGACAGCTACAGACATAACTCCCAGAGGCAGATGCATGTTGGGATTTGTAGTTTTGGCACAGCTGGAGTGCCAAGGTCCGCCACCACTGCTCTACACCATTTTTGCATACCATTGTAATGCAAGCAGGCATAGCCTGCATAAGAGTGGCAACTCTGCTCTCAATTCAGGAGCAGTGCAGCATTGTTGCCATACAATAATAGAAAGCAGCATTAGGTGGACTTCACTGGCAGGATCAACATGTATTTATGGGACTCTGCACGGGGGCTAAGGGTAAACTGTAAGTGCTGATGCATTTATAAACAAGCACTGCAGCACATATTTTTAATAGAATGCTATAGTTCTATTTTAAAGTGACACTAAACTCAGGAGTTAAATCTTTAAAATAAATTCAAGTACCTTAACTATTAAAATACTGTATCTTATTTGTGCATCACTCAGCTGTAGATCCTCAAATCATCTCTGAATTCATGATGACACTGTCCTTCGTTCTAGAGGGTGGCCACTTTTGTACCCCATGGTCCTTATGTGTGTTGTAAAGTAGCCACTGCTCCAAGCTCGCTCCCTTGATAGACCATAATTTTAAATACAATTAGTATGAGATTGTAGTCCATCATGGTAACGATCTTGAGCGGCGGCTAGTTTACAACACACAGGAACATGGGAACAAATGTAGCTACCCTCCAGAAGGAAGAACAGTGTCAGCACCAATTCAGAGATGATTGGAGGATCTACAGGTGAGTGATGCACAAACAAGCTACATTTTTGTTTATAGTTAAGGTACTTAAATGCATTTTTAAGATGTAATTCCTAAGTTTGGTGTCACTTTAATAGCGTGGGGAAGGGTTAGAGTGTCTGTCAGTTACTGCTATGTTCCCATTGCAGTTCCACTGGTTGTCAGGACAGGAAGTTAGGGAAACTTTCTCCTGCAAAGACCCTTATCCAAAACTAAGAACAATTTGCCTGGATTTACACTTCAGATATTTTACTGCAATACAACAAAATTAAACATGTTATGGCAGTTATTTTTGTACAGTTCAGTTTATTTCATATAGTTAACTTTGTAGCAATTATTATAGTATATTATATTTGTTTATATTTGTCTAATTTGTTTATTTTTCTTACTTTCTAAAACTTTCAACATCCTCAACTTACAAGGACAAGGTAAGTGTCCTACAATGAACACTTCTTTTTTGTTTAACTTTAACCCCTTCATGACTGAGGTCTTTTTTTAAATTTTTTGCACCCATGTTATATTCCACATTTTAGGCCTGAAAATGACTTAAAACCCCCAAACATTATATATTTTCTGAATGCCAAGACCCTATAGAATAAAATGGTGGTAGTTGCAAATTTTTATGTTGCGCAATATTAGCGCAACTCCTTATTAAACCCCAATATTTAGTGAAAAATGTAATTAAATGCCCCAAAACACAACAAGATTCCCATTTGTTAATGAAATATAAAAGATGAGGTTACAACGAGTAAAACAATACCCAACATGCCCAGGTTACAAATTGCGTGCGTCCGTGAAACGGCGAAAGACTGCAGTACCCCAAAAAGGCCAAAGAAGATGCTTTAAAAGCCCCCATAGGTCATCAATTTAGAGATACCCCAAAATACTGGCCCTAGAATTATTGCTCTCACTCCGGCGTGCGCGGTGATACCCAACATGTGTAGCGCGTTCGTCGTTTTCATACGTAGGCGCACCCGACGCGTGTTTACGTGGCGACGCGCGTGCTCACGGGGGCGGGGGACTTTTAAATTTTTTTATCATTATTAGATTTTATTTTATTTTATTTTAATTTTAAAAACTTTTTTTTCTTTTTTTTTTTTTACATTAGGCCTTGTTTACAGTGCATTGGAATGAAAAGCAAATCAGCACATTGGAATGTGGGCGTGGACTGAGCGTGGACTGAGCTAATAATCTCTATCTAAATCCAAAAACAAAAATGTATTACGTTGTAGCTTACCAGTCCTTAAATGTGGTGGCTGCATTAGCTTTCTTTTTTTAGGCTTTTTTCCCCTTTCTTTTCACCTGGGGATTAGAGATGGGCTCGATGTGAGTTCAACTCGAACATCGGCTGTTCACGTGTTCGGCGAACACACGAACTGTCAGCAGGCTATTCACCAGCTGAGCGCCCTGCAAAACACTGTGCCTTGTGAGCCCTGAACCAAGGGTCAGGTGCAAGACTTTGCCCAATAAGGGCCCAGTACTCTGTAAGAGCCATGATTGGGCAAAGCCATGATGACTTTGCCCAATCATGGTTCACCTGTTATAACTGTAAACAGTTGGGCGGAGCTAGCTGTCACTGCTCGCTCCGCCCAATTGTTTATATGTCGCTGGAATCTGTCAAAATGCCATTCTGCGGCGGGGGTTTATCTCAAACGGTCATCGTTTTTAAAAATTATTATTTCTATTTATTTTTTTTATTTCGTCGAGTCGTCGTCGTGGACAACACTGAACATCCTGATTGATGCTGGATTACGACGGTAGATCCAATTTTTTTTTCATTTGCTGCTCCCTCGCCCCCCCCCCCCCCTTTCCTGCCTGCCAGGCCTGTGCTCCGATCAAGGGTCTAGTATGGAATTTTAGGGGACCCCACATTCTTTTTTCCCAATTTTTGGGGGTGTGATTTCACCTCAAAATTCCTACCAGACCTTAAAGGCCTGGTATGACTTTTTTTCCGGTTTTTCTTTCCGGTTTTTTTAAAAATGGGGTCCCTCCTAACATTCATACCAGACTTAAAGGGTCTGGTATTGTTTGGGAAGGGGAACTGCACGCTTTTTTTTTTTCTCTCTTTTTAAATGTCATTTTTTTCATTGATTCATGTCCCCCAGGGCAGTACCCGAATCCAACACTTTATGGCCATCAACTTCCAAATAAGTCTTCAAAATGGGGACAATTGATTTTCAAAGTTCTATCCCCATAGACTTGCACTGAGTTCAAGTTCGAATTCAAACTTTTTCCATGTTCGAAAGTTCAAATTTGAACCGAACAGGGGGGTGTTCGGCTCATCACTACTGGTGATTCAGCCAGTAACACACTTCCTGTCTTATAGTGGCTCCACTCTATGCAGGAGCAGTGGAGCCACCCTTGGACACCAGCATTGCCAACCTGTGAGGAGGGAAGTGTTAGATGGACTAGTAGATTTAGATGGAGTTGACTAACACATTAAATCTGACTTCCATAATCAGCTTATAATATAATACTTTATAATCAGTTACAGCAACAGCAAAACAAGGATTTACATAAGTGAATAAAAGCTAACCATTGTAAGCACTCCTGCCATTGATAAATGGTTTGTCTCAATCAATGTCTTCTATCTGTCACTTTTGCTGGAAATCTTGTTCTGTTAAAGTAAGTGGAAAAATAACAGACTTACTGGCCGTATCACCTGGTGAACATAAGCTCCATTAGCTCCAGGAGCTCCATTAGCGTCTATGCATCCCTCAATAAGTATTCTCCATGCAGATTTGGGTTCATAAAACTAACCACCTCTTATAACATTGGGGTTAAAGACTAACCTCCTCCATTAGCTCAGGGATCACTGCTTAACCTCCTTCAGACAGTTCTGGGTGCCATCGTTTAATCTCCTTCATGTAATTTTGGGTGCTAAGGTTTACAAGTTTTAATTGACCAGCTTTAAAAAATATATCTTTTTTTTTATAGCTCAAAATGTTTACCATGCTCCACCAGCTCCAGGTAAGTATTTTTTTTTAGTACCTTTATTGTTCAATATTTGTAGAATTTCCTAGAAAACAGATATTTCTTATGTTTTATCTATTAATATTTTAACATTAAAAGATAAGAACTGCTATAACTCTTATACTGTATATATAACTACATAAATATACTGTATATAAAAACATATATATATTTTTCTAGTATATCTGGTACTTAGGTGTTTCAAGTAACTGGACTTTTTATAATTTAGAGAATTGTCATACCAGTTTATATTTTACAAGAGCACCCCCCATTTAAAGCAAGGTGCACTGAAAGGATTTTAGCTTCTCATACCGAGCGTTAAAGGAAGTGGAAAAAAAACAGACTTACTGGCCGTATCACTTGGTGAACATAAAGCTCCAGGAGCTCCATTACCTTCTATGCAGCCCTCAATAAGTATCCTCCATGCAGATTAAGGTTTATAGAACTAACCTCCTCTTATAACATTGGGGTTAAAGACTAACCTCCTCCATTAGCTCAAAGATCACTGCTTAATCTCCTTCAGACAGTTCTGGTTGCCATCGTTTACTCTCCTTCATGTAATTTTGGGTGCTAAGGTTTACCAGTTTTAACTGACGAGCTTTAAAAAAATATATCTTTTTTTTTGTATAGCTCAAAATGTTTACCATGCTCCACCAGCTCCAGGTAAGTATTTTACCGAGAGGTGAGCGAACCCGGTATGTGTTCGCTCACCTCCCGATCTACTGAGCCGACCTGTGACAGTCTCATTGTCACAGGTCGGCTAGAACTATGAGGTGAGTGAAAAGCACTCACTGAAAGGATTTTAGCTTCTCATACCGAGCGTTGTCACCGAATCAGGTCCTTAAAGCCAGAGATTTGTCTATTCCATGCACCTCGGGGTAACCGGGACATGCAATCTGCATGTAGTCCTGGTTACCAAAGACTAAAAGGTCTATTCACAAAAGGGTGAAGAGTTTGGAGAAGGCAGGAGAAGTGAACAATCTAGGCCAGGGGTCAGCAACCTTAAACACTCAAAGAGCCATTTGGACCCGTTTCCCACAGAAAAGAAAATACCGGGAGCCACAAAACCCTTTTGACATTTAAAATGAAGATAACACTGCATATATCGTTTTTTTAACCTTTAGTAACGCACTGGACTCAGGGCTTACCTGAGACCCCGCAGAGCCCACCTGAGAGTGACCCTGCAGAGCACACCATAGATCCTGCACAGACCATCTGAGACTCTATATGTGGTCTCTGCAGGGCTTAAGGTGGGCTGGTCGCTGGGGTCCCTTTCCCTGTACCTCCTCCCAACTCCTCTTACCTGCTGCTGCTGGGGCCTGGCCTCCTTCACCCCCTCCCCTGTCCCCGCTGCCATGCCGCCCCCTGGTACAGCTGATACTCATGTAAGAGGCCCCCCAGGCTGCCCAGACCCCTCACATGGGTACTGGACGTACGCCCCTGATGGTGGTGTTTTATCAAAGTTTGTGACTGCGTTACAATGTGTGACCGGTGACGTGGTCACACATTTCAATGTAATCCCGCCAAGTTTTTTGGCGGTGGGATGTGTGACCACCAATAGGTCAAGCATTCCAACGCTTTCTCAGCGAGGCCCCTTCGGTAGTTCCGCCCCTGGACAGGGAGCCGCAGCAGAGGGATGAAAGAGCCACATGCGGCTCCGGAGCCGCAGGTTGCTGACCCCTGATCTAGGAAAACAAAGCAGAACTGGAAAGTGAGCTGAATTGGATAATTTTTTTCAAATCGGCTATTTTGGCCTAGATTGTTCACTTCTCCTGCCTCCTCCAAACTCTTCACCCTTTTGTGAATAGACCTGTAACTCCATTGTGCTGCATTAACCAGCATCATCCATCTGTTTTTACAGGACTAACCTCATTTAAAGGAGAACTATGGGGTCAGGGCTTTTCCCCATAGTTCTCCTTAGGGTAACGGGAGGACACAAACTAGCGTCCTCCCGTCATCCTAGGCTCAGTATACCGCGAGCTACAGCTCACGGTATACTGAGACGCCGCAGCTGAAGCGCATCCCGACAATTGTGCCGGGATCCGCCCAGCTGCGTGAGTAACAGCTGGCTCTGCCTATCTAGAGGCAGAGCAAGCTGTACCCGCCCCCTCCCCCGTCCATTCCGCCAGTCAGTGCTGGAGGATCGGAGCGTGGAGGGGGGGAATCCAGCCCCTCCCCTGTCACGGCAGAGAGCCGTGACAGGATCGAGAGGTGAGCGAACCCGGTATGTGTTCGCTCACCTCCCGATCTACTGAGCCGACCTGTGACAGTCTCATTGTCACAGGTCGGCTAGAACTATGAGGTGAGTGAAAAGCACTCACCTCATAGTTCTCCTTTAATAAATCTGAGTATCGAAGACTTCCCTCCCCATTAGTTTGGGGAACAGGGGCAAGCCTCAACTATACAGTTCTGGGTAAAGAGATTCCTCCATGTAGTTTTAAGTGCAACAGTTTGGCTATTCCCATGCAGTTTTGGTACATGGGTCTAAACTCTTCCCTCTTTATCATCATTTGACCATTTAAAACATCTTTCTTTTTACAGTTTCAAATCTTTGCACAATTCCATTAGCTGGCTGTATGTCATTTTAATTTCTACTTGTTGAATGTTTTCTACAATTTCCTAAAAAACAGTGTTATCTCTAAAGAGTCTGGCCAGCTTTGGGGTGGTGATTGCTTTACAAATGCCATGGCTGTTTCTTAGCAGGATTTAAGGGTTGGTGGAGTTCAACTTTAGCAGGCTTCTTCCTGCTATCCTTCTGGGAACTGATCAGTGGCATTTGATATAGAGTGAAGTGAAAACTCTCCAGTGAGGACATCAATCAAGTTATTTTTTAGTAGAGTAGGAAAGGGAAGCATAAGGAACTCTGTGAATTCTTATAGCACTCTGTTTCTGTTTGGGGGGCTTTACCCTCAATTGCTGCATGGTTACTGGGACAGAACGCAGACAGAAAAAAATATAATTAAACCTGCAGGAAAGCTAAGAAAACATTTACATTTGTAGAAAGAAAACACATATAAAAGATGAAATGAGAGCATGTTTAATTTTGTATCTACTTATTTGGTGAAGTTGTTGTATTGGCATGTATCATCGGTGGTAGTGCTTATTATCTCAAAATGTATCTTTGGCATACAATAAAACAAAAACTGAAAAGAAAATGGGGCTTTCAGAAATGTCACATCTCTGAAAGCCCCATTTTCTATTCAGTTTTGTTTTATATATAGCCAAAGATACTTTAATGGCATCCCAGTCTTAGTCCGAAGGGTTCAATATTGAGTTGGCCCACCCTTTGCAGCTACAACAACTTCAGAGTGTGTCTATGGGAATGTTTGACCATTCTTCCAGAAGTGCATTTGTGAGGTCAGGTACTGATGTTGGATCAGTTTACCATCTTCAAGTGACAGGCTTTAAAAAACATATCTTTTTTTTTTTATATAGCTCAAAATGTTTACCATGCTCCACCAGCTCCTGGTAAGTATTTTTTAAAATATCTTTATTGTTCAATATTTGTTGAATTTCCTAGAAAACACTGTCATTTTTAATGTTTTGTCCATTCATATTTTAAACATTACATGATAAGAACTGCACTAATTCTGATATGGAATATATTAGGGATGCACCAATGCTGATCCTAGTATTAGGGTTAGTACTGGTACCCACCCAAATGCTCCAATTTTTACTCCTTATACCGGAACTTCTGGTCAGAGGGAGATCTCCCTCTGACCGGCTGTGCCCCAAGGGAGCATGGAGCCGGCTTTCCGGCCAATCAGGAAGCCAGGCGAGAGGTTATGACCCACCTCCTGGCTACCTGATTGGCTAGGAAGCCAGCTTAACTTGTTGCTAGGCAGCCTGGCTTCCTGACCAATCCGGAAGCCGGGAGGCGGGTCATGACATGCCGCTCCGGCTTCCTGAATAGTCAGGAAGCCAGGCTGCCTAGCAATAAGTGAAGCCAGCTTCCTAGCCAATCAGGAAGCCGCCCAGCTTCCTGATTGGTCAGGAAGCCATGCTGCTCCGCGGTGTCGTGAGGGAAGTGAAGCCAGTGTTCGTTCGATAGAGCACTGGCTTCTCAGATAATCAGGAAGCCGGGCGGTGGATCATGACCCGCCTCCTGGCTCCCTGATAATCCGGGCCCACGTATGCCGGTATCAGATCGGTACTCGTACTCGATACCAAAAAACTGGTATCGGTGCAACCCTAGTATATACAAATACATAAATATTAGGGATGTCCCGATACCGATGCTAGCATCGGAATCGGGCCCGATACAGGGCATTTTGACAAGTACTTGTACTTGTCAAAATGCCCCAATACATAGCGCTAAAGCTTGCGCTATGATTTTTTTTTAAAAATGTTTTTTTAACTTACTGGGAGAGCAACGGCGAGTCGGCGCTGGTCCGGTGGGAGGAGCCCCAGATGGGGTCCTGTTCTGTCGACACTGATAAATCATCGACCGCGCTCACCTCTGACGTCGCATCCGGGTACTGCCAGTCGGTCAGCTTCACTTAAGGCCCTTCCGCGCATGCGTTGCCACTCACCGATCCTTACATTCCCACACTGCGCCTGCGTCCCTTTCTCACGGCCGTTAACTTCTCCAACTACACTAAAATCATTAGTCTGCATTGTTTTTTTTAAAATGTCACCGGTCCCTTTAAGAAAAAGTATCGGTAATTGGTATCGGCAAGTACATGGGGGAGTGGAGCTACTTGTACTTGGTCTTGAAAAAGTGCTATCGGGACATCCCTAATAAATATATATCTAAAAGTACATATATATTTTATCTGGAATACATGGTTCTTAGGTTTTTCAAATAAATAGACTTTTTATAATTTAGAGAATTGTCACTACCAGTTTATATTTTACAAGAGTCTCTCTTTTGTCTTGCATGCAAAGATTTACAGTTTGTTTTATTTGGAAAGCAGCCACATGCTGAGCAGAAAAGCCTAAGTCCTGCCAGCATGCTGCACAGAAGGATCTTTGCTCTCTGTGTGGAACCAGGTCTGACACGACCCACCTGTGTCAGAGCTAAAAAAAAATAATCAGCAGGGAACATGAACTTTGCTGATGGCAAAGCTATAGATCTGACTCGTCAGATGACATATTGGACCCCTGCAGAGAAATCACTGCTTACAGAGAGCAAAGGTTCTTCTCTGCAGCATGGCAGTTGGGGGACAGGCCGTTCTACTCAGGCTGTGGCTGCTTTCTAAGGAAGGTAATGCAGTATGTAGTTCTGGGAGAGACCAGCAAAAAAGACCTTTGTGTTACTGTATGGCAGCCAATTAGCATCTCCCATTTCATGTTGCTAAGAGCAGTTATACATCTCCTCTTTGCCTTTCCTTCTCAGTTAGCAAAAGTTTGCACAATACAGGTTGTGTTTGCCTACCTTAAGACATGTTTGCATGCATGCTGTCTATTATATTGTTAATGAGAAAATAAGTCATTCTGGTTGCTGGGTTAAGGCATCATCAGCCATGACATGTCTCCATAGTAATTATGATCAAAGAAGAACTGCAAACAAATAAAAAATATACCCTTGCAGTGGGGCTACTCTCGCACTGCAATTGGTTAAGTGCTCTTTTTGTCTAGGGGACTCAAATAAAACCGATTTACTTACCTGATCCTCAGTCCTAACAGCTCCCTCTGGGAGGCTAGACTGGTCCCCACTGACTCTTCTCCCCTGGGCTTCAGTGGTCTGAGAAGCGCAGACGTCATCACACCTTATACAAGTCCATTAACTTGCATTAGACGTGAGGATGCTGAGGGACATTCTATACCTGGAATGCAGGGAGAGAAAGGTGAGTGCCAACCGTTGCAGGACCGTGGATCAGGTGAATAAAACTGCTTTATTTGAGCCCCCTAGACAAAACGAGCACTTAATACTTGCAGTGAGGAGGTAGCCCCACTGCAATGGTAAGTTTTTGATTTTACTAGAGTTCTTCTTTAAGTCGTTTTTACATTTTTCTAAACTGCCAAGTTGTATAATGTAATTCTAAATTCATCTTTTCATTTTTGATTTACAGCACAAATAATTCCAAGCTATCATGCAAGAAACTGGGGTATGTGTTTTTCTATCTTTTAAGAACCACTACTCCACTGGAAAGCAATTATGTCACAGTCTCTAAGAAATGTAGGCTGTATTTTCACAAATGTTGGTCTGCCTACTAAATAACTGCCTACATCATGTATGGACAACAGGTTCACGGTACGGCAGGGTTTATAGTGACATGCAATGCCTCAAGGAACAAATTGGTTTATATGAAAAATACATAGTTCATAGTCATTGTCATAGTTCTAGCCGACCTGTGACAATGAAACTGTCACAGGTCGGCTCAATAGAACGGGAAGTGAGCGAACACATACCGTCGCTCGCTCACTTCTCAATCCTGTCCTGCAGAGAGCCGTGACTTTCACTAACTGCTCCCTGCAGGGATTCCCCCCCTCCCCTGTCCGATCCTCCAGCACTGACTGGCGGAACGTTTGGGGGAGGGCGCGGGTACAGCTGGCTCTGCCTCTAGATAGGCAGAGCCAGCTGTCACTCACGCAGCTGGGTGAATCCAGACAGTAATGGCGGGATCCGTCCCGGCTGCGGCGGCTCAGTATACCGCGATCTATAGCTCGTGGTATACTGAGGTTTGGGTGACGGGAGGACGGTAGTTTGTGTCCTCCCGTTACCCTTTGGAGAACTATGGGGAAAAGCACTGACCCCATAGTTCTCCTTTAAAATACAGCATTTTTACAATGCACCCAACAAATAAACATATTGATGTACATAGGATCTATTTAAAAAGTTTTTCAGGTCTGTGCATTTTCCCAAAATCTGGTCTAAAAGTATTTTAAATCTTCATTTACAGTTGACTCAGACCCTCATTTTGTCATTGCTGACCCACGCAAGAATGATGCTTTGTGCTTTAACATACAAGAGGAACCAGGCGTACTTCTAAATCTTATTACTGACCAAAAGCAAGGTATTGTACAGGCCAATAACTGAAGATCATTGTTTTGTATATTTTAAATCTCTGCGTCATTGTTAATATAATGTAGAATGAACCTGTGGCCGGGCCAGGGCTTTTTAGTATTTGCATATACTTAACAAGCAATTTTACTTATAAACAAGCCTATACTGATCTCTATGTCAACATCAACAGTTTTCCGACATACATATGTGCTGATATTAGGTCCTCTTTTTAAGGCATTGCTGTGAATGGAGAACTCATCGGTGATAAGACATCAAATGACAATGTAACATCGACTGAAACCTATTTTGGAAAACTGGGCATTGTAAACAAGATGATAAACCTGAGAATTGAAGTGTCCACGGATGCAATCACTGTCATAGATGGTGACAACCAGACAAGCTTTTCATGGCTGGACACAGTCACAGTAGACCAAAAGGGGTATGTATCTGGCGTCAACTGTGTATGTCAAGCCAACCACTTTTCCTAGTTCTGGATAGAGTGGCATTTCCTGTATGGTAAAATGTCAGCAGGATAGGAATGGAGGTTAAATCTTTTTAACAGAGCCCAGATAGCAGTAAAAACTTGACAGGGGTCTGAACCCTTCCCTGCTCCATCCAAAACAAAAAAAAAAATTAGACAAACACTTTAAAATCATTCCTAAACTGTCAAATATTCTTCAATAAAAAAATACAAAGTCAATTAATTGTATACTGTATTTCTCTTTCCTCACCCTTGCTACGTTCTTCTGAATATGGACCACCATGCGTCTCTGAGGACATGCATCCCACTGTCGCAAGCATCGCAGACATAGCAAACATAGTGCAGAGCATCTGTGTTGTAAACCCTTCTTAAATGTAAAAATAGGGGGTTTAATATACTGCATTCAGCTGAGATTTTGTTGGGCTGGATTAGAAACATTAATAAATAGATCCTAAAGCATTTTATAGACACTACAGTAGAGGATCAACTCACAAAGCCAACATATCAAAACGAGGATCCCTAGTTTCAAAAAAGTGTGGGCTTGCTGCTCAACCATGTCAGTTGAGCAGCATTTTGTTTGCACACCACCGCACATGTACAGTGGTACCTTGGTTCACCAACGCTTCTGTTCGCGAACAATTCGGTTTGCGAACAGGAAGTTCAGCAAAATTTTGCTTCCATTTGCGAACTCCGTATTGGGTGACGAACACAACCGCAGCCATCTTCCCTGCTCTGACACGTGGTTGTGGCTTCCTCTAGTCAAGATTGCGGTCTGATCACAGTTTGATTCGGTTTGCGACCAGAATCGTGGAACAAATTAAGTTCGTGAACCAAGGTACCACTGTATAGTATGAACAGGGCACAAAGGAACTAATGTTTACACCATTCATGAGTGGCAGTGTACAGAAAAATGCAGTTTAATGGACATGGAGTTTTGTCCCTGTGTCGGAATAAAACATGCCCTTGTCTAGTCAGTGGGAGTAAAACATGCCTTTGTCTAGTCAGTGGGAGTAAAACATGCCCTTGTCTAGTCAGTGGGAGTAAAACATGTCCTTGTCTAGTCAGTGGGAGTAAAACATGCCCTTGTCTAGTCAGTGGGAGTAAAACATGCCCTTGTCTAGTCAGTGGGAGTAAAACATGCCCTTGTCTAGTCAGTGGGAGTAAAACATGCCCTTGTCTAGTCAGTGGGAGTAAAACATGCCCTTGTCTAGTCAGTGGGAGTAAAACATGCCCTTGTCTAGTCAGTGGGAGTAAAACATGCCCTTGTCTAGTCAGTGGGAGTAAAACATGCCCTTGTCTAGTCAGTGGGAGTAAAACATGCCCTTGTCTAGTCAGTGGGAGTAAAACATGCCCTTGTCTAGTCAGTGGGAGTAAAACATGCCCTTGTCTAGTCAGTGGGAGTAAAACATGCCCTTGTCTAGTCAGTGGGAGTAAAACATGCCCTTGTCTAGTCAGTGGGAGTAACATACAGTACGTGCTTTAATGCAGTATAATGAAGGTTTATAATCTAAAGTAAATTATAGAACTATTATCAAACATACTGTCCAGAGATGATAGCTGTTCTGTGTTGCTCATGTCAGGCAATAAGATTTCACCCTATGTCAGTTAGACATTTAAGCCGGCAAAAAATAGCTTTTTGTATTTCTCATTATTTCATTTTACGGGATTTGGGTCCGGAAATCAATTTATTTCGGGATCCAGATTTGGACAAATACGAAATTTTCGTTAATTTCGGATAAGTTAAACGATATTTACAAACGAATTTTCACTGCAGCAAGGTAGGAAAGGGGTGGACGAGCGTGCGCCCCCCTCCTGCACCATACCAGGCCACATGCCCTCAACATAGGGAGGGTGTTTCGCCAGGGGGGGGGGGGGGGGGGGGCACCCGAGGCACC